ACAGTAATAAAGTGGACTTCAGTAGAAGATTATATGTTGGACTACTGTTGCAGTCAAAATTACAGTAATAAAGTGGACTTCAGTAGAAGATTATATGTTGGATTACTGTTGCTGTCAAAATTACAGTAATAAAGTGGATTTCAGTAGAAGATTATATGTTGATTACTGTTGTAGTCAAAATTACAGTAATAAAGTGGATTACAGTAGAAGATTATACGTTGGATTACTGTTGTAGTCAAAATTACAGTAATAAAGTGGATTACAGTAGAAGATTATACGTTGGATTACTGTTACTATCAAAATTACAGTAATAAAGTGGATTACAGTAGATTATATGTTGGATTACTATTGCTGTCATACAAGTTAAAATTTATTAAAATAGAGGACAATAATTAGAAAGGTGGCTTTTTATTAGGGGCAATATGGTATGTAACTTTGTAATATACTTAGAACTGTTCATTTTGGAAGATAAAGTCATAAGGTTCTTAAAATCTAAGAAAAGCAGGATAAACATAAGCTACATTTGCACATCTAGATAATACCAGTGTAACACAGTCCATCTTATGAAATCTAGTGTATATACAGAGCTCTCTCGTCAAGTACAAGCTTCAACAAATAATGTATGGAAATGTTCTTTGTGAACTGGGCACAGCCATGCCTTAACTAAAGAAAATTTACATATTTACTATACTTTACATAGAAACATAAACTTTACAAAAACTAAGTGATAAAAAAAATACCATTTTTTTTATAAACACTAAGTAAAAATTATTAATTAACACTTCAAATCTTAGACTTAAAACCATTTGTAAAACAAAGTCCATGTAACACAACAGCATGCATGTATATAACTATGTCAAGTTTAAACGGTTAAATAAAAATTAACTAACCCTATTGTTGCACAAGTTGAATTACACAGAAAATATATTCTATTTACTCAAGTTTATTTTAAATGATTTTTTTTTCCTGTTATAAAAAATATACTCATATATTCTTTCACAAGATTGTATACTTACAAAATGTTTTAGACGAAAACAAACAAAATTCGTAATTTATACTTTTCATGAGAAAAATTTATGTAACATATAATAGAACTATCTGGTTCACACAAAAAAGTCAGTTTTCACAAATACACACATTGGCCAACAAAAGTTAACACATTCCTTACGAGTAAATGTATTTCAGATAGATATATTTTGGAACAATGATCAGCTGTTACCTTCTATGAAGATTTTTGTACATGCCAAATGCTTTGTGCAAAGTTAACATCCCCATACTGCACAAGCCTATTACGTAATCATCATTAGAATATATCCCCATTAGCACTAGCATTGGGACAAAGGCTCATTCTTGACAAGGCAAAAGAAATACACAAGAAGTGTGGAGAAAAAGTAGGAGAGTGTGAAGACAGGTGAGTATCTATCTGAAATACATTTTCAGGTAAGAAAAATGTTAACTTCAGAAATGTGTACTTACCTCTCTGCACAACAAAGAGCTAGAAGCCTACATTGATAATATCGTGAATATATAGAAATTCAAAAGCTGAGCTCATTTCTAAAATCATAGTGTCACATAAGGAAAACCCATGGAGCATGTCACCCACTGGGGGTTGGTAGCCTACAGGGACATCATTTGGTGAGAAATTGCATCCGTTTCATACAGGAAATACTCTTTGGCCAATAAAGGTGATAGAGCAGAAGATGCTGTTAAAAAAACCTTCTGTGTGGTGCTAGTGTCACATACATGGGTGAAATGTAAGACTGCTCAATTGTCCAATATTTATCTTTCTCAGGTGGTCAGTTGGCCATGAGTTTGTAGTGTGGCTAACATAATAAGTAAGGCTGCAACATATTGGATAAATACTTACGTAAGGTACTTACTAGAATAATCAGTTGCAGGGAGAAAATATCCTCGATCTGCATCCTGAGGCGAATGTGTGACCCATCCGTCTAGCCTAACCACCAGGAATGGCTTGGTTCATAGTCTAGTGTGGTGGCCTGTACTACACCTCCGGCCTTACTTCTCATCTACAGGTGCACCCACTCTGTCTCATACCAGTTGAATTACACCAACCCCAAAGGAACTCTCCATATCGACCTCCCCAGCAGCTTGGGACTAAAAAAGCAAGTATTCCCCCATTACTCCACTTGAAGAAGGGGGGGGGGTTCACATGCGGGGGGGGGGGGGAGAATACCAAGGAGGTGCTAGGACTGCATAATGTCACACTGATAGACAGTGCAATGGGTTACCACAAATACAGACAGCAAGCACTAGCCAGGTGTGAGAATAGGCTCATATTGGTGCAGTGTTTCTTTTTCCTGAAATGTGGTCTGGACAACAAAATAATTTACTACAAAAGCAGTCTCTTGCAGAAAATTCCTTCTCAACGATGGGCACTAAACAGGGTCAGATAAGCTTAACACTTTCTGTTATTCCTCACTTTTATGGAGTATTCCCTGTAGGTTCTATTGTCTCCACATAGATAGAGATTATTTAAGATGTTTTGAGACTTGATAAAAAAGAAAGAAAAAAAAACATCTATAAAGCTTCTATGAAAAGTGGAGAATGGCAGCTGGAGGGAGATGAAACCCAGGGTAAATGAAACTACAATGTGATGTAAGTAATGTGACACTAAAGTGTTTGGGGGTTGTCCACATTCTGCCTGTAAGATCTCATACAAGGGACATAAATGATTAGAGGTAAGAGAATCCCCAAGATGAAAAACTTGATGGGAGGACACACCAAAAATAAAATAAGTATCATCACTCATAAAAGAACAAACTAGTCGCATAAAGTGTATAAACCAAGTAGAAAGAGATAAGTTACTAAAGAAAAGAGAATCCTATGGCAAAAAAAGACATTTTCAATCACCTGAAAAGGGTCAGTACAAAAGAAATAACAATGAACAGCCCCTACAGGACAAAGGAGACAATACGAGTTGAAACACTGTATAGGGAAGTGGAATGAAGAAAACATCCAAAGTTTTGAAGAAGTAGCAGTAGTCAGGAAGAAGATTAATCTGTCCCTGCAGTAAATAACGTGAGGCATCAAAAAAAAAAAAGAAGTGACAACTTTGGTTCCTGCAAGTGGCAAGGAGAATAAAATATGTCTGAAGCATATAAAAAGAGATTGAACCCCTCCAAGTACAGAGCCTCCTTTGCCAAAGATGTAGAGTCTAAAACTGAAGACCAAAAGAGTAGGAATTAGATGCTGAAAGGAGTTGAAAAAGCAATGATGATAGGACTCCCATATTGGGAGACATTTCCCTGAAAACACTAAAGAATGGTAATATCATTCTTTGTGAAGGTTCCAGTCTAGGTGAGATAGTCAATCTGCCACCAGGCCCTAAACTCCTGAAAACTGAACAAATAAGTAAGTCTAGAGAAAGGAAAACAGAAATCCTAAGGAGGAGTGCTTTCCTGCTGGTGGATGGAAAAAAGCAAACAGAAGAGGTGTCTGAAAAGATTATGATAGGAAAACCAGACAGACAAGAGAGAAGATGATGTCAAACCTGCTGAACAGCCAACATCTCAGGGATGTAGATATAGAAAAAAAACTCTTCTTTGGAAATGGATCAATGTCCAGCACTGCACCCTATCTGAACAGAGGTATTGGTTGACAGGTTTTATTTGTAGGTTAAGTTGTCATCAAGCACAAAACCACATAATATGCTACCTGTGCACTCACCATGGTATGAAAACTCACAAGTAAGAGCATTACAAGCCCTGAGTGAGCAACCACAACAGCAAGAGGTGAAAAGACAATGGTGCTCCAGATGTACTGAATGGCCAGAATCCATTGAAGGAAATGAGAGGCTCAAGAGACGAAAGAATCCCCAAAAGAAACAAATCTACACATGCAGGAAATTAATGAGACATAAAACCCTTAGTGTTGGAACCTCCATGTCTTATATGTAAAAGAGGAGGCTCAGATGGCCCTGCATACAAATTGAAAAAGACCCCTAACTTAATGAGCATGATGTGGTCAAGACTGAATTGGAGAGTTAAACCAACTACCTCAAATGATATGACTCCTGAAGGAGAAGAGATGTTGTAACAGTGAAAACTTAACTGGGTAGGGCAAACAAAGGTCAAACATCCATAGAGTAGTGGAACAGTAGAATTCAGGAGTGTAACCTCAGAGCAAAACACCCCTGGACTCAAAGGAAAAAGGCTATGAATTGAATGTTTGACTATTGTGAATGAACCAAAGAAAGTATATCAGGTGAACAAATCAAGATGTGGATAAAGTGTCTGAAACCTCAATCCAGGTAAAGCATGTCCTGAAAAAGTACCACAGAGTGAGAAAACTGTCCATCTTGAACCAAGGAAAAACAAATTTGGTTAAAGTAGGAAATATCTACAACAGGACATCAACATCCTATCTTTGTGGGAACAATAGAAAGACAGGAATAAAAACTTGAAATGAGGTAAAGAAATTGTTCCATGGCATTCTAATCAGATAAGATGTAGAGTGGAAGGACAAAGGAAGAACCCTGAGAAAATACCTGAGTAACCCAGTAGTCTGTGGCAAAGGTAGCTACAGATGTACAAAGAGGGAGAGCTGAGCACCACCAGACTGGAATGGTAGCTCCAGAAACATGTCACCTCCAAGATCCATGACAGTCAGCCCTCAGATAGTGTGGATGTTGGATAGTAACGAGAGGACTATGAACAAAAGAAGGGATGATCCCATAATGCTATAGAAGATGAGGAACCTGGTGAGGTCATCTGGTTAAAAAAAAAAAGCAAGAAACAAAGTAAGAAATGATGACTACTGACAAGCTGCATCACTTTAAAATTCCAACATATAAGAAATACTAAAAAAAAACTCATCACAAAGAAAGATACAACACAGATGTCCCAAAATTACAAATGTGATTATATCAAAAAATCAAACTGAAGATAATCCAAAGTTCTAACTGAAATGTTTAAAAGTTTATATCTTTCTTTCTCTTAATCAAGAAATTAAGGAAAGGAAGATTACCCTATTAATGGTAATGAAAATTTAAAATAATAAGAGCAAAAATTCCTCTAATTTCTAAGAAAAAACACAGCTGAACAAAGCAATGCTGCAGAAAGAATAAGCCTTTGTTCATATGTTAATGCTCATGTGAATTACTGCACCTGGAAGATAAGTCACCCTTCTAGTAGTGGAGGGTTATAGTCTAATGATGATTATATCACAGGATGGCACAGTACACATTAATATATATAGCAAGTGAAAGCTTCATTCAAGGTATGTGGCAAGCACAAAAATTTTGATAGCAGTAATAAAAATTGATAGTTCTTTGTTGTTCAGAGAGTTATGTAAATATACATTCCTGAAGTGATATTTTAAAGTAACTAACATTTTTCTAACTCACCTTGCTGTTCAAGTGCTACTGGTTGGTAAACCAATGCTTTCTCTGAATTCTGCTGGTACTTATTTTCCCTATGAGCTTCTCTACCTGGTAAATTACTATAAACAAGTGGCCTTGGTTTGGGAGGTCTACCACGCTTTCTTCTAACTGATGAATTGAAAAACTGAAACCTTCTTCCAAGCACACGTGGATTGGAAATTTGATCTCTACCAAGATGCACTGGAAAACTGCCTGAATGGTAGTTCAAAGACTTTCCTCTTTTCTTTTCAGTAAAATTTACAGATCCCTTTTTCAAACAGGCTTGTACATAATTTCCTGCTTGTAATGGCTTATCAGCTAAATTATCAGAAGCCAATAAAGAACAATGTTCATTAATTTTTAGTGAACTTGATGCACCCTCCGTTTCATACGAGAGGTGACGAAGTGCTTGTGCTACAGAACTGGCAATGCCTTGGGTGGCATTATCTTCTTCATCTGATGAAAATGATGGTGCTTCAGGATTGGGAACAACCATTTTTTGAAGGTCTGAGCTATCAAAGAACAGAGAAGAATCCCCAGTCAGATTTCCTGTGACTGGAGACAAGCTGCGGTCTTTCCCACAGGAATCTTTATCATTTTTTCTTGACACAGACAGTCCAACTGAATCATACATACAGAAGTGTTCTCCTGAAGCATTTGATGAGAAAGACCCATGGAAAGAACGTCCTCTTCCTCTTCCCCTCCGACCACGTACTCTTCCACGACTAATTCCTCTTTTTCCAAAGGGAGTGTTTGCTGAGATGTCTTCTGTTTTATCTGTGAGAAAACTGAGAAAACTTTTAAAGAAACCACCAAATGCTCCAGGTTTTCCACACTCTGACTTTTTATCTGACTTAATTGGAAAATCAAGAAACCCAAAGTCATCTGCAATACCTGGAATGGATTTATTATTTTTATCTTGATCCACAGACGATTCTGGAAGAGAGGAACTTACATTAACAGAACATGGCTGATATCTAGCCTCAGATGTAGATGCTTCACTCTGGTTAACATTTTTCTCAAAGGACTTGCTAAGATCACCTGTTTCCAAGTTCCAATCCTGACAAAGTTCTTGGCAATCTGAATTATTATTTCTTTTGGTAGAATTAATATGAAAAGATGACAAAATTGAGCCTGACGAATTCTGACTTAACATTTTTTTATTGTCATTTGGCAAGCCATTTGATGATTTAAGTCCCAAGTTCACACCTCTCTCATCAATGGTGAAAGCATCTTTGTGATAACCAAAGGATGAGATGTCTACTGATGACGAATGCAGAACTGAATTATTACAAGATGTGCTAATTGGAGGTTTTCCAAGAGAAGAAGTTAGATCAAAGCTATTGGAGTGAAAGAGATTATCACTTATTCCTGTTCCACCTGTATGTCCTGTACTATGTTGAAGAACTGAAAGGGAATCATCAATCCCTTCAGTAGGAATGGTTGAACGGTTGTTCTGTTCTGATGCTTCTAATGCTGAAGCTAGTTCATCTATTGAAACACGAAGTGCTTCTTGATCAGCTTCCCTCTGTAAAGTAGACATTGTTACATCCATGGGTACTGACTGAGCTCCTTGTTCACTGAAACTAAAACTGTTATGTTGATCACTAGTAGGGTTTAAAGATGATGATATTCCTGGAAAAGTATCTTTTGGGAAATGTACTGAACTATCCTGGAAAGCTGCAACAGGAATGTCTAAATCTGAATGCTGGTAAGAGCTACCAAATTGTAATGACCATTTACTCACACCAGAGGATGGATTTCCTGAATGATATGGAGGTAAGTTCTCAGCTGATGATCTTTTCTGGCTGGAAATTGGCATTTGTGTATGAGAAGTTTGAGAAAAATGGTGTTCATTAATATCGCTCTGTATAAGTGAATTACTTAAAGACCTCTGTGTATGAGCCCAATTCTTCTGTGCTTCTTTTAGCTGCATATAATCTTCTGAAGTGAGTTCCCAAGCTGGACTCTTTTTGGTTTTACGTTTCTTGAAGTTCTTTCTACCTTTTGGTCTTCCTCTTTTACCAGGTTTTCTTTCAAATCCAGTCATCTCAAAATTATTTGACCGATTAGCAATTGGCTCAGGTGTTTCATCAAAATCATAAACTTTCATCCTGTCTTCAGCTGACATTAAGTTAGTAAACTCCTGCATATGTGAACGAAGTGGCTGTGGTCCATTCAATATGGAATTCATTTGCATATTTGCTGACTGTGATCTTGCTTCTTCCATTCCAAGTGCTGTATTCATTGAACAAAGAGGAGAATTTTGATCATCTGCCCTAATATTTTGCTGTACCATATTGAGATCCTCTTCCATTAGATTTCTGGAAGTGCTAACACAATTTTGGCTTTCTGAACCAAGAGGAGTACTGACAACATCAAGAACACAGTTGTCTTCTACATTATGAGAATGAATTGGATTTTGCAGCTGGTCAAAGAATGCCTGTTCACTCATATCCAGATGATTGCTTTCAACTGAAGATTGAGAAATTGCTGTATGCTCCCCATTATAATGAGATTTTGGAGAAGGAGAAGGATCACTATGAGTTGTGGAAAAGTTGGTTTGATTTGAATTTATGGTGCCAGCTTGAGTAATAACAGAAGAGTATATGGCAGTGGCATCCTCCTGACTAGAAACAAAAGAGTTGGGAACATAAGCTTGCCCAACAGACACTGAAGGAGAAGGGTGTACAGGTGTTGGAGCTTGTGTTGGTGTGCTCATTGGTGGGTATGTTGATTGCATAATTGGTGAAGTGTTCTGGTTCATATTTTGTGGGCTATATTCTTGTGTTGCTGATCCTGAAGAACAGTGGCTTTTTGATGACGGAGGTGCAGAAGATGCAAATGGTGAATGCCCTTGCATATTATTTCCAAAATTAAAAATATGCTCTTGATTAAATTCAGGACTACTACCAAGCTGGTGTTCTGAAGAATGTGTTGAATGAATACTTTGAACGTTTTGGGACAAGAGTGTTTCTCCATTAGCAGTAGTACTTTCTGAACCAGCACCAGAACTACTGGCTAAGGTGTTCTGTCTCTGAGACTGAATATGTTGAAACTGAGGGCTTACTATTACACTTGGTGTCGGTAAAAAAGACTCTTTATCAGTTGTGGCACCTGACATTTTTTGTTCTGTCTGTGTATTGTATACATTTTGTTTTTCCATGTGAAGATCTAAAGGAGCATAAGCTGAACTAGAATAAACTGGCTGAGAAATTGAGTCATGGGATACTTGAATCATTGAATTAGAAGAATAAGCACGAAAATCTGGTTTAGAAGTATACAAGTCCGCCATACTATTCAAGTAGGAATCTACTTGTCTGTTCATTGAAGTAGAGTGAGTATTCTGAGAATCTATTAAAGAGGAAGGAGGACGAGCAGGTGAAGGTAAAATATTCCTGTATGTCTGAGCTAAGTCTTGGTCAATCAATGGTCCTCCAATGGATCTTCTAGGAGACTTGCTAACTTGAGGCTGAACTTTATCATTATTATTTTCAACTCCAATTGATCTTGGCATAACTGCTTCTGATGCAAAAGACCCAAATGGATTTCCAGCAGAACTAACAATATTTGAATGTCTCCAAGAAGCAGCTGCCATGTGTGGATTGAAAAGAGCTCCTGATCCAAGTCCAGTGGCTCCTGTCATGGCTACTGCCATGTTAGCTCCAGCAGTCATGTGATTTGGAGTCATTCCACGATGTGCAAATCCCCCTCGTAGATCACTCAAATCTGGTTCTTTGTGAGCTGCTTTTAAAAACCCTGCTCCAGTTGGCAGTCCTGTAAAATGACTTTTTGCAGCAGCTGATTGAAACTGAGCAGAAAGAAGATTATGTTCATATCCAGGAGGCAAAATACTGGCAGAACTGAATGATGTATCAACATGATTAGAAGGTTGTGGAGGGTTTAACCCTGGATGAGGTGTTAAGAAAAAAGGATGAGGTGTTGTTCCAGCACCGTAACCTCCAACATGGTCTTGGCGTGAAAATGTAGATGACAATCCTAACTCATTCAGCTGTGCCTGTTGGGAAAATGAAGCAGCAGCAGGACTTACAGCACTACCAAGTCTAGAATAATGTTGTGTGTATGCAGACCATGTAGCTGGATCCATTATTCCTTCACTAGATAATGGGGAACCACTAATATTCTAATGTGGACCTAGAAAAGAAAAAATTATATTAATGATCTTTAACATATGTTTTTAAGTAGTACTTTCAACAAGAACAGTTACTTTAATGAAAACAGAATTTTGATGAAATAATATAAATTAAAATTAATATGACAATCTATATATATATATATATATATATATATGTCTACCTCTACACAGTTTTTGAGGTTCATAGCCTAATCAAATACAAAGCTTTGTGAAGATTATGCCAATAAGAAATTGTATAATAAAATCATGGTTGCTACTAATACAAATACTGATTCAATAATTATGGGAGATTTTAATTTTAGATATAATGATTGGAACTGTATGTAGTCAAATAATGAAGAAGGGATATTTTTTGAAGCAATTCAGGATGGTTTCCTATGCCAGGTAGGGAATGCTATTTTTGATTTACTTTTCATCAGTAATAAGGATATTATTGCAAGAACAGAAGTAAGGGAAAAACTAGGAAAGAGTGATCATAGCATAACTATATTTGATGTTTTGCTAAACATTCAGATAAAAATTAATGATATTTTAATTACTTATTTTCAAGAGACCAAATTCTGAAGCAAATAGATAAGATTTATCATTAATGAATTAGGATAATGAGTTAAAAAGTGATGAATTTGAGAATTTTTAAAAAAAATATAGCTTTTAATTTAAGATAGAAATACTCCTAAAAAATGGATAACAGAGAAAATCACATAACTGGCTTACTGATGATATAAAGGAGAAAATCAGGGATAAATGGCAAAAGTTTAAATTTAAAAATAGATTAGAAGATTGATGGAACTATAGGAAAGCTAGAAATCCAAAAAGGACTTATGAAAAGCAGCTGTGTAATAATGGTAACATTAATAGTAAGGATTTTAAATATATTAAACCATTCACTGTGGCTGGGAAATATACATCCCAGCCATAGTAAAAGGGTTAAGTAAGCCAAATTTTAAAATGAGGTTTTGGACTGCAAAGGATGCTGACAACAAGACTTTGTTTAAGACTACGAAATGGTTTTTAAATGTTTTATAAGAGAAGATATCAGCAGTATTCACAATCCTGAGCATTCTACGGGAAGTATTGGAACTGACCTGTATCATGTAGATATTAATCCCAATGATGGTGAGTAGAAATAATATGAGATTAAAGATATATAAAGCACCGATTTTTCCAGGGAATTAAAGGTCAAAGATCAGATACATAAACCTTTATCTTTCATTATTGGTAGGTCAGTAGATGGATTTTTTTTCAATGATTCTAAGAAATTAAAGCAAAAGTACAGATGAATGTATAATAGCATTACTTCTTATCAGAACAATGGAAAGGGTGTTGACCTGTGAACTAAGATTTTCAAAAATCTTTTGATACGGTGCTACACAAATGATGAGCTAATAAAATCCCACTGGTAGGGGCAAGGAAAAGACTAGTTATGTAGTTTGTAGAAAACAAAAGGTTCCTATTAATGCAGTCAGTAAAACTGAATACTTGTTACTAATAGCATGCCTCAGGGTTAAGCACTTTGGTTTTTCTTATTTACATTAATAATGCTGATATACTAAATAATTAAAGTTTGGTAAGTAATTGGTAAGTTGGACAAATATATGTCATTTGACCTTTGATTACATTAAGTGCAAGTCACCATAATTTGGATCACAGATTCAATAAACAAGGGAACTTAATCAACAGCATGATTGAAAAAATTATATTGGAAGCGTGGTAGAAAATTCACTGAAGCCATCAAAGCAGTGTTTTGTTGCTAGTAGTAAAAGTACTAGAATTTTAGAGTGTATCTATAGGCTATTTAAATAAAAAAAAAAAAGATGGACAATTAACTCAGAAGCACTAAGATATTTACACTATAGTGTGCAGACTACAGAGATACTATCATTATCACCATTTTAATTTGTTTATTTGCAATTGGTGCCATTTATTATAAATAATGCCTTTCAACTAATAAAGTACAAAATACTATTACATAATGTTTTGGGGGCAAATATAATCGGAATGAAATAAATTCCAACAATCAAAACTAGCACAATTATAACCTAAATTTAAGGTACTCTTTTGGAACACACAACTTATTAAATTATTATTATTTACTGAACAAAAACGTGGATAGATATAAATTATTTAGCAAGAAATTATGTTTTAGTAAATCATTAAAACAGTGATGATGATAGTATCAGTGTAGACTGCATGCAATAGTGTAAATATTTTTGTAGACCACACGGTATAGTAGCACCCAATTAAATGTCATAAATAATTGTCACATAAAATAATATTACTTAAAACTATGATTAAATTGATTAACATCATAAAATTAATCATCTAATCAAAGTCAGTGTTTTTGTCTACTACCATTTCCAATTTTTACAAATATACAAGTAATCAAAATATTGCAAATATGACTTCACATTATTTTGGATTAATTCAAGTTTGTTCAGCTTAAACTATTACTGTCACGACTCAAAATGAACAACTAATCAAAACTGGCTATCCAATTTTCAAGTGAGAATAATTGATTAAACAAATGTAATTGATTAATGAGTCAGATGATTAATTAATTACCAAATGCCACTAATCATCCAGATCTAATTACAAATCAAAATTAGTAAATCTCACTGCATAAATCACTAGTTAAGCCTCACTTGGAATACTTGTGTACAGTTTGATCAGTTAAGGTTTCACCTGGACAGTATTTATTGACCTGTGACCCAGTAGCATTTATCAAGCCTTAAAAAATCCAGTTTTAAGTAAAAATCATAAGCAACACCAAAAAGCTTATCTAAAGTATTTGAGAAAGGGATTTCAGCTATCTTATTAAAAGTATGTTATTTAGTATTTTATATGTACATTCCACTATTATGTTGTTTAATCCTAACATTCTACACCATCTGAAACAAAAGGAAAAAAATTTGCTTTTAGGATAAACAGAGGTGCTGTTTAATGTCAACATTGACACTTAATTTATTATGTTATATTTTACCTTATCCTTGTATTGTTCCAGAGTATGTACAAATGGGTATTGTTGCTGTCACATGATCTAAAAAATGAAATAGTACTAAAGAGATATATGATTCAGAACTTGCGAGGCTTAATATCCAATGATGATGAATCATAGAAAAATGGCTGCAGCAGATGAAAGTTCAAAAGCTTCTTCACAGAAGAATGATGTTAGTTTTGCTCTTTAACAGATGAGTGGCTTGATAATGATGGTCTTAAAACCTGGATTTTGAAAGACCGCAATGAAGCAACTTCAGCAAAATACAAAGTATGCCATACTTCATTTACAGTTAAAACATAATGGTATAGCAGTTGTAAAAGATAGGCTTATGGGGAATTTCATAACTTTGTTCTGAATAACAAAGAACTCCTGAAAGTAGCTAAATCAAATGTATCTATTATGGCCTGCAAGTTTAATTGCACATGCACAAACATATATAAAATGTCCAAGTCTGATCTGTGGAAAAAGGTGACAACCATATTCGATCTTCTTATCTAAGGAATGTTATTAACTCATCAGAAAGGGTTCTGAAGAGGTCTACTACGATGATTTCAGAAATGGGTTATCTTAGAGGGTTAAAATCTCTTAAGTTTCTCTTTGGAACAGGAGGGTAAAATGTGATCTTATTGAAGTGTCAATATTATCCAAGGACAAATAGGATAAAAGACCACTTACTTCGTTTGAGTTATATTCTAAAGATAAAAGAATGAAAGGACAACACAGACTAGATAGGATGCAAGGATCAAACCAGACTCCCAAAACATGGAGAAGTCACTTGTGTATTCACAATGTGAAATACCATCCAATACATATGCACATGTCATTTGAAGCATTAAATTATGATTAATGTATTTTTTTAATTTACAAACTTTTTTTTCTTAAGAATCTAAGGAAATGGTAAATACTGTCTAAAAAAATCTCTATCACTTCATGCCACTAGTAATAAATGACATGACTTTCAAAGTTGTTTATTGTGCATAAGATATTAACAAATCATATCACAAAATAATCTGATAAATTAGTTTTGTATGGTTGTTGCATCAAGTAAAATTACAGAAAAATGAGTGATAAGAGGCAGTCATTTACAGATGAAAAGTTAAAAGTAAGTTGTTTCTTTAACAAGGACCATACTTGATTTTGTAAAGCAATTTACTTTAAAGTTAACTATTTGTTTCATAATATAATGAATCTGCAACCTGAACGATGCAGAGTGATTTCGGTAATAAACACTGCAAGTTTTTACATCATCAGTTTGTGTAGGGCACCTCGATTCTATTAGAGATCCCATATGTTTGTGAAAACTGGCTAGCAGCTAACTACTTGTCACCTCGCCAGTCCATTTCACGCAATGCTGGCAATGAGTCAGCAACTCGGACTAAGTTTGTGCAACCAGGACACCCGGCTTACCGATTGTTAGACATTTGAGATATTCAACTTATTTATTAATATTTTTTCACAAAATATGGTACAGTTCGGTTGCATATGAATACAATAAATCTACTCTCTAGACATTTTTTTTGGCCATCAGTGTTGACCTGGTTACTGTATACTTGTGGATATTTGGAAGTAAGTTAAGTGAATTTCTTAGCAATTATATGTTAAACTTCATTTAAACTTTTACTAATCTAAAAAAATATTCTAGAATATCAAATATTTGTAGCAATAGGAAATACAACAAAATAAACTTAAGATTCCAAAGTAACATGGCATACTACAAAATAATGAAGCACTTAGAATTAATATTTATGTACACTTAAAGTTAAATTTATTTAAGTTGTTCTTCTATTTATTAAGTGATCATGGGAACAGATTTCATATGTTCAAACAACAGTTCTGAATAGTTAGCCTTGGCCAGTAAAAATGATGAATGATTCCTGAGGGTCACCCTTTATTTTCTACTATCAAGCCTTTTTTATTGGGTATTGGACATTTCCACTTAGATTATATCTAGCATTTTGTCATGAGGATCAGGAAAATTGTGAATTTGAATGAAGTATGTGAAATCCTCCAAATGACTGAAGACAAACCTGATTAACTACTTCCCTTTCCTTTATTAAAAAATTCAATAAATTGCATGCACTTAGCTCCAAATAAAGCACAGAATATATCACAGTTGTGGGCAATTCTTAACCACGAGTATACAAAACATTATCTTTACTGTATTAACAGTTCAGCTTGACACAAACTTCATGAGGAAAAAGAAATTTAAGATTTGGTAAAGATGGGTCAGGCTTTAGGATGGTTTTATTTTTCATGACTGGCTTATGGAATGAATTGTATACACCAGCACCTTAACAAGAATTTAAAAGGAGAATTAATAATTTCCTGAAAATACAGTGTCAATTTAGATTTTTACATTTTCTCAAGGGAGGATGTGCAGGGATTGCCTTGAATAACCTAATAGTCCTTTATTGCCTATATATTATGTTCACAATGTCTTAATGTTCATATTAGTTAAATGCTCATATACATGTTTGTACTGAAAATGACAGTTAGTGAGTATATCATGAATTGATATCTTTCCATACATTTAGCGACACTGACTAACACTTTACTAACCAACAACTTAAACAGCTCAGTGAAAGTCTCTAGTATAAGTTACATTCTCCAAGAAGCAATTTAATAAAAAAAAAGCCTTATAAAAAATAAATAAAGCAATATTTGAACTGTGTAGTAATTAGAATCCTAAGAAAAAAAATGCTTATATAACAGGTTCAAATAAGAAGATCCACTGTTTACCTATTATACACAAATATAATCAACACCCATATCTACTTAAACTACTGCAATATTTTATTAAACTCCTTTTATAAAATATACATATGAAATTGTTCAAATTTACATTTGAAACTTTACAGAATGACCTACATATAAATATCTACACATAAACATAACTCAATCATATTACAAAGATAGTATGTGGCTGAAGATGTATGATTAAAATTTATCTTGGAAATAATTTTCTCCAGCTCTTCTACAGTGACAATTATATGCAGAATAGAAATGCCAGTTAAAAGCCCAAAATTTATATCTAATTGATTCATATGATTACTTTTGGTACTAGACGGCAAGATAAAATATCCTTAACACACCTCACTAAGGTTCATAATATAAATATCAAAAGATATAGTTTGTCATTAAAATGAGCAAAAACTAAAAATTTAAGAAATTCAAAATATAGTTAACTACACATCAAAATAATACAAAACATACATTTTGTTTAGTGAAGGTTAACAAACCAAATAATATTTATTCAGCTTCCCTAAACAGAAACTATTTAGAATGAATAAAAACATAGTCCACCAATAAAATTACTATACCCTTGCAATAAACAACCATCAAAAACTAACAATAAAAACACAGTTATGAAAAAACAAAATAGTTTTATCAGTAAAATGTGCAAAACAGCAACAAAAACAATCAACCACAACTAACATAGCATTCATGTGATCATGAAATCCTCTGGAAGAAAAACAATAATCAAAACATAATAATCATTCAAATCACCAAAGCATACAAACATTCAAAGTTTAGTTAACTTATTGCATCCCAAAAACAAAATTGATCCTGCATGAATGATGAAATAGAATTTATATTGTAATAAACATTACACAAAGCCTTACTGAAAGTGAAACCAGTTAATTATATTGCAATTCAAACCAAAAGAGAAGCATGTGATAATTATAAAATTAAACAAAAAACATATATTCTCAATACCACTGAAATTATTTATTTAAATAACTTACCAAGTAAAGCAGTTTTGGAACACTAGTACCACAGGCCCTAATCTGATGAAGTCAGCAAAATAAGCTCAACTATTTAAGCTTAAGTATTATTGTACTACTGACCTATTTTCTTTCACAACACTCAACAGTGACACAACTTACTATGCATTGCACTGAGTGTACATGAATAAAATAATTTTGATTCACAAAATGAAATTTTAAATTGTTTCAAGTAAGCAGTATTAAAAAACTGCCTATGTTATTTATCATACCTGAAAAGAACAAAATGGGTTTTGCCTGCAAACTAATTACATTATTGTGCTAAATACTGAAAATTAATAACTTATCAGAGAAACCCAGCATTGCGTTTAGTAATTTACAAGCTTAGTCTAAATTCTAATGACATTAGTAAGAAGCTTGAAGTTATAGTCCAATACTGCTTAACTGATACATATTTGTATAACTACAAGTCATCTACTACTAACTAACTTATGAATTAACGTGTAACTTGTTATAACCAGAAACATAGAAAAAGAGACAATTTTTAGTTTTTAGTCCTTGCTTGTGAAACTGAGTTGAAGTCTAACATCGAATCTTACCGTAATTTCTCTTTTACGTTAATACAAGGCAGTCTAACCATACTCACTACTCTCAACAGCAAAATAAATGGTCAGAAGTAAAAGAAAATGTTAAAAATACCCTAGTTTTTCTGAGTTGTCGACCAAATTTCTCTCATATCAGTTATAATTTTAAAAGATTCATCCTCCATCTTTGACTGAACGTTTTTATCCTCCCATACTCCCTCGCGAGCAAACACAATAATTATTTACGTCTTTGCCTTCACAGAGGTCGCTATAACATATTTTTGCATAACTACAGCGCCTGAGTTGGAGTGAAACATTTTTGCACTTTATAAACCGAATGAACCCAAAGACAAAAATTATTATGCAGTGAAATTATCTTGTTGACCATAAGTGTAATGTGTGTTTCAAGTTATTTTTTATTTTACTGCGTTACTATTTCTAGGTATATCTTACAATATTTTATTCATTACATTCTTGTCTTTGTTTCAACATTTACTGAAATTTATATCATCGTGTTTGCTATAGTTTAAACGATTTGGTGGGGAACGTTAGAATTTATTGAAAGTGTTGATAATTCTTGTTTTTAAATAGCTACATTTTTTGCGATAGCGTATATATATATCGTGTAAGTACTGTGTGTTTGTGTGTGTGTGATAAAAACGAAGCATAATCAAAGCATAAATAGCCCCCCCCCCCAGTGGCACACCGGCATGTCTGCGGACTTACAACGCTAGAATCCAGGTTTCGATACCCGTGGTTGGCAGAGCACGGATAACCCATTGTGTAGCTTTGTGTTTAATCACAAGCAAACAAAATCAAATAAATTTGTTCTGTAGATTTACCAAATCTCTAACCGGAATTTAAATAATTTTGCTTAATGATTTATTAATTAGTCTTTTTTCGCGTGTTACAGAGGAATTCTAATATTCCCATAAATGATGGAAGTATATTAAAGCAAACTTCATATTCATTTTTAGTATAATATAACATCTGAAACTGTCAGAACAAATCGAAAAAATAAGAGACTATCACATTAACTGGATATTTCTTTTTCAAGAATAGGATTCAAGCAAAATAACTTCCTTTTTTTTCAATAAAATCCGTTAATAGCGTGTCAGTAATCTATTGCTTATCATATTGGTGATGTAGTCTTCTGATAAGACTTTACTTTCATTGTCACAACATTTCTTGCGATTATACAATAATTAAGATACAACAAACAGAAAATAGCTAAACATAATAAAAACTGTTTAGGCATAGAAATTACAAACAAATAAGCAGATGTTTTGTTCTGATACGAATCTTTATTGTAGCATTCTAGCTGTGTAAAACTGTCTTGATTATTTAAGTGTGAAGTTTATAAATATTTCGTACTGATTTGAAATGCTGATAAGATTAGTTAATGAAGTAATAAAACTATTACTAGAGCTTTATGGTGTTTTTAAATGTTAATTTTTAGCGTACTTCTTTTACTTCTTTTTTTTTCTGTTTGGTGTGTCTCTTTTTCGTTGCAAATTACAAGACAAATATACACATACATTTATAGTTTAGCTCAACAGATGGCAGGACCATAATCTTATTTGTCCTTTCATATAGTAGTGTGAATCATCTGAATTACCTCAAATGGTAATGGATAACAATTTAAATCCTGTTAGATCGTAAAACATAGACAATAAAATCATTTTTAATAAATTTTCCTGCAAATATTGTATAAGTTAAGTGTAAATAGTGTATGAAATTCCACAAGGAATTTTATATGGAAAAAGCCTATTCGCTCATGAGGTTAGGACCAATTTATTTGTAAGTGAGCTTTGTTAAATTTGTAAATATTTAGTTCCTATTTTAAAGATGAAATATATCTTATAAACACACAAAAAGCTATGAAGAATCGTATATCCCTTATTACTGTCTTTTTGCTGAGGCGTTATGTTTTAGATAACAAAAGAAATGGTGTTTGTTTCACGGCAAGGCTATTTGCTATGCCCACCACGGGGAATCGGACAGTATTATTGCGTTGTAAGTCCATAAACTTACCGCTGCCCCATTAAGGGACACACACAAAAGAGTCTTTCTTGTTTCTTTAGTATTATGTCTAGTTTTGATAAAATATATTTGTCTTAAGACAATAGTATTAGGTTTATTGTACGTTTTAAACACTCTTTATTTATTCGGTCCCTTATGGGGTTTTTTCCGAAAAGAAAGATGTACAATGGTAGTTAAACCACACTATGTCCGCAATATCTAAGTTTGAAATATTATTAAACAATCCCAGGACGGGGAATAAAGAATGTAGTGTTTTAAAAAATTACAATAAACTTTGTCTTACTGGCACAGCGGTGTGTATGCGGATTTACAACGCTAGAAACCGGGTTTCGATACTCAAGATGGGCATAGCACAGATAGCACATCGTGTATCTTTGTGCTTAACTTCAAAACAAACAAAGTTGTCTTATGACAAATATAATTGATTCTAATTACTTTTCGTCGGTAAAAGGCGTTACACCATAACATTCAGCTTTGTTGGCCCGATACAAAGCACGTGCACATTAAAATATATATTGCTAGACGAGAGAGATTTCAACATGATGACTTGTTAATACATGCTATGTATGCTTAATACCTGTATACTCAGTTCCTAGAGAGAGGGAGATAGCAGAGTAGATAATAAGTTGATTAGTTTGTTTGTAGTTAAGCACAAAGCTACACAATGAGCTATATGTGCTGTGCCCACCACGGGTATCGAACCCATGTTTTAGTGTTATAAGCCTTCAGACTTACCGCTATGACACTGGGGGCAGATAATGAGTTCCACGGATAAATAAATGGGTAAAAATTGACTTTAAAATATTTGATCAGATAAAATTTGGTCGAACAAATAATCTTTCTTAATTATAATATATAATTGCTCATAATATATATCAAATAATAAAACTTGGATTTTAAAGAATGGTACGTTTCAATTATATCTTAATCCATTCCAACGAAATGTTTTTGAAGGAAAGTTACACGCGCTAAAAAATTTCCTTGTTTTAGAGCAAGGCCACATTAGACTATTTGTTGCGTCTACCGCATTGAATCGAATTCCAAATGTATGGGTTGTAAGTTCATAGACCAACTGCTGTTCCACCAGGAGATACTAAAATTATTAGAATTCAAACTTTATATCAAAAGTTACATTGTATCATACCTTTTACTTTCGTGAATATGATTGGCTTGAAATAACATTTATTTGATATTTTTATTTTGTCTGCGTGTTTAAAGTAATGTTGCGTCAGCGAGAT